TGCGTGAACCTCGTTTCTCGCTTGCCACCCGGACACTGGCCTGAGCAGTCTGGGCTTCCTCAGGGAAGGAGGGTGGACGCAGGGTGCTCAGAGTGATGCCGGAGAGACTAGACCTCTCCACCGGCCTCGCTGCAGAAGACCTGGAGGACAGCCGAGTGCGGGGTGAAAAGCCCGGGGGGGGGCCGGGAGCGTGTGGCTCTGCCTGTCATCCGGGCACTCTTGGAGGCCGAGCGGGAGATCGTCTGATTCGCGTTCAAGACCAGCCTGAGCAACGAGCGATGCCCGTTCTCTACTAAAAATACAAAGATAATTAGTGGACAACTAAAAACGTATATAAGAATTAGGCCGGCGTGTGGTGCATTGCCTAGTCCGCTACTTCGGAGGCTGAGGCAGGAGGATCGCCTTGAGCCGGGTTTTTGAGGATTGCTGTGAGCTAGGCGACGCACGGCACTTCACTTGCCTGGGCACAATAGCAAGACTTGTCTCAAAAATAAAAACAATACAAAAACACATGGTATTAGAAATCAGCAATGTGTAAAACGGTGGTTTTTCTCTATCTTATTTCTTTTTGTTTGTGCATACATATCTTAGCGTGGCATAGAATTGCTGGAGGGGGGGACATAAAATGCAATGGTTGTTCTCCTGGAACCAGCGTTTCATTGTTTCTGTTTAGTCTGGGGTCGTCCCGGGCTGCGTTGCTAAGTAGTCGGGGGGCACACGTTCCCAGCCCAGCCCCGGCAGCTACACCTGCTCTTGGCAGCCCCTAAGGGCCCGAGGTATTGGGCATGGCAAGGCAGTGGCGTGGCCCGGGCTCTCAGGCGTTCTTTTTTGTCCTTCGGGTGGTCTGGGAGTTCAACCCCTCCACATCTACCTTCACTATGATCACAAGCACATCAGAAGCATCCGGCCGGAGCAGATGAAATGCCTATCTGAGACAGAGCACAGCTAGGCACACGGGCGACGGCTGTCCCCGAGTGCGCCCCCCCCACAACCTGGCACCTCGCCCAACGATCTCCTTCCCATCCGTCACAACACGCCCGACCCTTAACCTACCCTTCCCAGGCGGCTCCTGGGCTCTGTGGTCCGTGAGCGCCGGGCGTCCTCTCTGGAGGCGGGGCCACCTGCTGACCCTGCCTTGACCTCGGGCCAGGCAGGTGTGTCCGAGGGCCTCGTTGGGACCTCTGCATCCCCCAATAGCTTCACTCGCTTCCTCCACACCTGCAAACCAGGCTCCAAACACCAGTCTAGACAAATTCAGTAAACGGAAAGGGGACGAAACACTCATCTCGGCCTCAACAACAACCCAAGAGACGATTCGGCTTCCAAAGGTCACTGAAAACACGCCCACAGACGCGGCCCAGCTGCACAGGCTGGGGGGCTCTGCTAGGAGGGCCGCCCCAGCTTGCAGAAGGGAGTCTCTGTGGGGGGCAGATGGAGCCAGGAGGAGGATGCCCCCTCAGAGCAGGACAAGCTCTGGTGGCAGTGGCAGTCCTGCCTCCTCAGCTCTCACCCGAGAGCGTCTATGTGATGGTTTTCCTGCCGACTATGGCACGTGTTCGCTGCGGCGTGCAGCCAGCCCTTCCTTCCCGGGCTAGGACCAGTCCCGGGCCCATGTCACCACTATCATCTGCAGGGGGTTGGTCCTTTTGTCCCGCTTTTCCCGGTCCTTGTCGAGCAGCAGCATGGTTTTGGGAGGCATTTGCTGTCCCTGCTGTCCGGGGACGGCAACGGTGGCTGCCTGCACGGTCCTGCAGGAGGAGGAAGGGCTGGGGCTGCTTGTTGTCACCTGCTGCTGCCAATCTACGGGGCTGCGGGGGCGCTCCCGACACTGAGCGCTCCTTCTCCTCAGTCAGTTCTGCCGCACGCCCCCTGAGTGCCCTGGCAGGTGTCTTTTACAAGACGGTGGAGGATGCTTCTTCATTCATTCCTCTTTCACTCCACGGCCACTTCCAGGTGGTTAGGCAGGCACCACCGCTGTTCTGGGGTTCTTCTGGGGATCGACGGGGGGCAGTTCCGACACGCAGCTTGAACGCGACGGACGCCGTAGCCACGGCTCTTGCACGGGGCAGGCAGGAACTTGGAGTGCGCTTTAAGCCGGGGCTCCAACCAACAGGGACGAAGCTGGCCGGGCCTGGCTCAGCGGCAGCGTCCGGGCACAGCTGTCGCATGATCATCTGCGGGCCTCGCCTCGAGGTCGGGCGGTCCCTCTCCTCCGCAGAGGAGACGCTAGTGCTGCCCACGGCTCGCAGGAGAAAGAAGGTGCACGGCCCGTGGGGTCGACGGGGCAGCCAGGCGGGCTGACCGGCCTGCCTGGGACCTCCAGCCAAGGTGGTCCTGGGATGCACCACCCCAGCTGGGTGGTTGCGGACATTCTCAAAAGGCAAATATTATTTACTGTTCCATTTTCAGCGTTTGGAAGCCAAACTGCTGGGAAACAGGTCGTGCCAGTAACCTGCAGCTAATTTACCGTGGGTGCTGTGTAACATGGGCAGCGTGCGTCTGAGTGTGTATGGTGCGATCATTGACACAATCCTCAGCAGTATCTCCACGGGGAGGGCGGTCTGCTGGTCCTTCAGTTGGCTGAATGAGCCAATTGCAGGCCCGGAGAATTGGAGAAACGTACACCGGAGGGTGTGACCTGTTAACGCAGTAGCGCCAGACCCAACTGGGTGCTTGGATTGCGGAAGGCTGGCTTTTGGGGAGAGGAGGATGGTCACAAGGCCCGCTGCAAGCCATCCACTCTCAGAGCTGAGGTTTCTTTGAAGGCGGCCGCCCTGGCCTCACGCTGGCTGCACACCTGGCGTGGGAGCTCGAGGTCATTGGAGGACGGAAACGGCTGCAGGTTACCTGCCAGGTGTGGGTGGGGCAGGACCTTGCCTCACGATCCTGGAAGCTCTCCGGAATATTCCTCTTGCCCGGGCTTTGTCTAGAGAGCTCAGGGCTGCAATCTTCTGCTCCCACCTCACCTCCACGCGCCTTGCTAGGAGCGCGTTGGCCCTCAGGGCGAAGGCGGTGTGGTCCTTACACAGTGTTCCAGGGCCCTGTGCGCCCAGCTTCTGCTCACCTGCCGTTGCTCACCTGCCCACCTGGCTATCTGTCCTGCCCAACCTGCCCACCTGCTCGTGCTTCACTCGGATTGAAGACATGGTCCAATGGACTGTGAGTGGGTCCCTGGTAATCCCGGAAAACTGTCCGCCCCTGGCCACCTGCCACCTGTCTAGGTACCTGCCACCGCTCACCTGTCCTTCCCTTACCCTGCCCAAACCTTATTTTCACCTTGCCCGAGGCCTCACCTGGGCCCACTGCTCCACTCTGTCAGCTACTGCCGGCCCTGCTGTTTGCGTCCTGCGTCCACTGTCCTTGCGCTCGAGGTGTCGGGCCCTTCCCACGGTCCACACGCAGCCCAGCCACCTGCCTCGGCGGTCTCGGCAGCCACTTCCTCGGGCATCGTCACTTTCCCCAGCCACCGCTTCGAGGGCCGGGCGGGACAACCACATCCCAGAGAAGGATCAAAACGAGATCTGAAAAGGGATTTATCATCATCCCAGGAAGTCCCGAGACGAGGTGGGATGGGAGCCAGGCCCATATGAAAGCGTGAGGGGGTGGCGGTGTTTGGGGCCCAGGGAATCCCACCCACGTGCTCCTCAGTGCGGGGATGGAGAACCCAAGGGGCCACGTGACGGAAGCCAGACTTAGCTGCAGCTGGCAGGCAGGTCTCCAGGGCCCGGGCACTGTGTCCCCGGAGCCCCCATCACCCCTGGCTCCGCGGAGCTCCGTCACCCTGCATCCCGCGAGCCCCATCACCTGCTCCCCGGAGTCCCGTCACCTACTCCCCGAGTCCCCGTCAGCCTTGCTCCCCAGAGTCCCCGTCACTTGCTACGCCCCAGAGCCCCCCGTCACCCATGCTCCTGGGAGCCCCTATCACCGTGCTCGCGGAGCCCCGTCCATGTGCTCAGGCACCTCCCGAAAAAGCGACCTGCCTTCTCTCCTGCTCCGCCCAGAGGCTTCGAGGGCGCAGGGAAAGCTCGAATGCAGGCAACGGCTAGCCCGACTGCTTGTGGTCACAGCCACCTGCGATTCAGTTGTCGGTGATGGACCACAGACTTGATCCATCGGGCTCCTGCCAACTCGAGGCGGCCGAGAGGAGACGCTCTGGGAACCCAACGTGTGCCGGCCGTGGGGAGTTGTTCGCGGCGCGGCAGGCTGTGGTCGTTGCTGGCAGGCCAGCTGGAAAAAGAGATCGGCGGCGTGAGGCAGGGAGGCTGGAAGGAGGAGGCGGTTTTTGCTGAGAAATGACGAGAAGGATTCTTCCTGGCAAGGCTGGGGGCCTCCTGCAGACGTGACCTTCACTGCTCCGCGCACGGCGGCGCCTGGGGACTGTGGGCGAGGGTGTGTCTGGCCCAGTCCTGCCCGCAAGAGAACACTTCGGGCTGCGCCGAGCTTCCTAGGAGGGTTCAGGCCCTGAAGTGCGCTGTCCCCGCTTCTTCCCCCTGCAGAGCTGGTGGACAGGCTGGGTCTCCGCAAGCTTCAGGGTGGTCCGTACAGAGCACTGCTGTGCCTTCAGGGGTGGGAAATGGGTTGGGCACAGCGGTTATTCGAAAGGTGGACTGGTCCTTCCTTGCTGGCAAGGGGGCGACTGCTCAGGTACAGGTCAGAGGCTGACGAAGGGGACAGAGGAGAGAAGAAGGGTGACAGGGAGGCAGAGGGACAGGCAAGAGCAGACCGAGGGCAGACGGGAGGGTGAGAGACGAAGGGGCAGGGAGAACAGAGAGGAGAGACAGCGGAGAGAAGCAGAGAGGACAGGGCAGGGCAGGGGACAGGGACTGAGGCAGAGGGGACCAGGGTGGACGGTCAGCCAGGGCAGAGGACAGTTGGAGAGGGGAGACAGCGGAGAGGAACTAGGGAGAGGAGACGGGACAGGGAAAGAGGACAGGGAGAGAGGGCAGAGGACAGGGGCAGAGCAAGGATAGGCAGAGACAGGGACGAGCAGAGGAAGGAGAGAGCAGGAGAGGGGACAGGGTAGAGGGGAGACGGGACAGGGAAGAGGGGAGAGGGGATTGAGCAGCCGGTGTTTTGGAGCCTGTTCCACGCCTCGAGTGCTTTGCTGGACCCTGGCAGGGGTGAGGCAGGTCAGAGCCGGGCCGTGTCGGCAGGCAGGGACAGACCCACGCTCACACTAGCGGCCGACGAGGTCCTGGAGTTGGTGCGGAGAGGACAGTCTGGTGGCCGGGGTGGGCCCGGGCGCCGTGGCTACTGCTGGCTCCCACAGTGCCTTTTTGAACATGGAGATAAAAGCACTTACTTCCTTCCACGGACTGGGTTGGGGGATGTTTTGGGGAAGATTCAAGCGCATGACCTTTACTGCTCACTTTATTTCTATTATGATTACATAGTCACTTGCTACTCACTGATAGGGTTTTTTTTTGAGACAGAGTCTCACTCCGTTGCCCAGGCTAGAGTGAGTGCCATGGCGTCAGCCCGGCTCACGCAACCTCAAACTCCTGGGCTCAAGCGATCCTCTTGCCTCAGCCTCCCGAGGAGCTGGGACTACAGGCATGCGCCACCATGCCCGGCTAATATTTTTTTCTATATATTTTTAGTTGGCCAATTAATTTCTTTCTATTTTTGGTAGAGACAGGGTCTCACTCTTGGCTCAGGCTGGTTTGGAACTCCTGACCTTGAGTGATCTGCCCACCTCGGCCTCCCAGAGTGCCAGGATTACGGACGTGAGCCACCTCGCCCGGCCTCTGCTAGGGTTCTGACATGAGCCTGCAAGCCATTGATTTGTTAGAGTCTCTGTGTGTCCAGCCTCTCTGCTCGCGATGATCTGCATCTGCAGCCGCTCCCCAGCGCTGGCTTCGCTGCCTCAGCTCCACCTCGGATCGTCAGGCATAGTTAGATTCTCATAAGGAGACGCAACCTATGTCCCTGGCACGCCCAGTTTACAGTGGCGTTGGCGCTCCTATGAGAATCCAGCGCCAGCACTTTATCCCTCGTGGGTACCGTGAAAGCATCATTCTTACCCGAGGAAGCCAAAGGCCCTCCCGGCCCCCCGCACGGTTAACGCACCCTATTAGAGTGTCTGTTGGTGTCTTCTCTCACACTCCCGTTTGGGGGGCTGCGGCAGAGGGAAGACATCCGTTTCTCTGTGTCTCTGCGAATCGTGGAGCTCTGCGGTCTGAAACGGAGGAGGGAACTCGGCACCCCCAGGCTGGCGATCTGAGAAACCGGAGGGACCTCAGCCCAGCCGGGAGCCGGGAGCTGCTTCAGCCCAGCTGGGCCGGTCAGCTGCATTCGGGGGAGGTGGGTGTGGACCCTGCAGGGTGGCAGGTGCCGGCGGCCACACCCTGGAAAAGTTCTCCGGTGTCTCAATTCCCGGTGTTTATCTTGGCCCCCGGCAGCAGACCCCTTAGGGGAAAGAGGAGGGACCTAGTGGAACAGGGGCAGGGAGGGGGGCGTTTGAAAACCACAGGGTTAGTGGCACAGAGATGCTGCAAAACACACCGAACCAAAACACGGAGCCTGGGGTGGGCCGGGGTGGTGCATTTCTGGACTGTTCCATGACCGCCAAGCCCAGGGTGCAGAGACCAACACGCCCGGATTCCCGGTTCCCCGCAGACCTCGGTTTCCTGAAAAGCCTTCCATGAAGTGGCTAAAGTAGCTAAAAGGCCGTCACGAGCCCCCTCTCCGCCCCCGTAATGAGAAGCAGCAGCTTCAAGGTGGGCGAATTCTCAGGTGGCAAGCCAGGCTTCCCAAAGACAGACCCCCTGGCAACGGGCGAGCCTCACACCTGGCACAGATGGGACGGGTGTCCTTCTCTGGCCTCTCCATGGCTGTCGTTCTGGGGCCTGGGTTTGGGGGGGGGGCAGCGTGTCTCCCACCCCCACCTCCAATGCATCACCTGGAGTGGCGCCGGGGACGGGTCCCCGCCTGCACCCAAGACTTCCCCGAGCCCGTCCTTGGAGATGTGCAGCTTTCCTTCCGTTTGCTTGCAGGGTGGAGAAGGGGGACAGAGAAGAGACCCCGAGGGGACACCAGGGCCCGTCTCCCCTGGGGTCAGGGTGGCACTGCAGAACGTCCCCAGGTGGAGGCTCCTGTGGGCCCAGGTCAGAGAAAGGGCCGACTCGGCTTCCAGACTCATCCCTCCTGTCCCTCCTCTGCAACTTTGCATGTGACCAGAAGGCTGGGTCCTCGGGCTGGGTCTCAGTGTCCCTGGGGGGCAGGGACGCTGCCTTGCTCATTGTCACATCCCCAGGGCCCCGCAGTGAAGTCCCTTGTCTGTCCTGCAGCGCCTGGCATGCTTTACCTTGGCCCGGTGCTCACACACCTCTGCCTCTTTCTCCGCGCCTCCTGCGGTTTTTGACGTTCTCCTTTTCGTGTGCACGCTAGCGCCAGCAGAAATGACCACACGGCGGGGGGGGGGGAACCTGCCTGCCTCAGTTTTCCCGGGGAAGCAGCAGGGGTGAGTCAGCAGGAAACTGTGGCCTTAGCCTGGAGGACCAAACTGACGAATGTGTTTCCTTGGGGCCCAGGAGTCGGGGTGTTTTTGGGTTCTTTATGGCGGGGGGGGGGTCAGGACAGGCCCTGCCTGCCCACCCAATGGGGGCGACCTGTGACCTCTCCATTCTCCACTTCCCGTGGGCAGGAAGGGTGGGGCGGCACCTGGCTGTGCTCCGTGTGCAGCCCAACCCCTTTCCTATGTTGGAAACTCACAGCATCTGTGCAGCCGGGGGCAGGTGCCGGGGCTCGGGCTGCAACCACGCCCTTTGTGCACTGCTGGGGGCTCCCTCGGGGGCGGCTGCGGGTGGGAGGAGCTCGTGCGTGCACCTGCACCACTCAGGCTGGTCACACGGTGGCCACTCAGGGGCATGAGGCTCGGTGGGCACAGTGGTGGGGGCTCCCGGGAGCCCAGCGAGTCTGTACAGAAAGACGCCATTGCTCGGGGTCACCGACAGCTGGAATTGGACTGGCCCAGGGAGAGTGAATCCGACACCGGCCGGAACCAGAAGGGACCACAGCGATCCTTGACCACCCCTCCCCGCCTTTGAGTTTATAGGAAGGGACTCTGGGGCCTGGCGGGAGGGCAAGATTCACCCCCGACCTGAGCACTCCAAAGTGGTGGAATCTGAACTCGGACTCTCGACCCTGCCATCTCCTGGTCTCCAGCCCTGGGCTTGTCAGTACGAGCCACGGGGCCATACGAGGCACACAGACGGGGCAAGGGGGATGGGAAGATGCGAGCCCACCGCCACCGTCTCATCTGCCGGTTTCAGCCGGGTGGGCCCCACCACCCAAGCCCCCGAAGAGGCCCAGCGGCCTGCCGTCCGGGCAAGTCGGCCTTTGGCGTCAGCCGCGGTCAGGATTTTGCCAATTCTTAAGGGTATCTCTGGAGGTGGGTAACGCATGAAATGCATTTTCTCCTTACCGAGCCGAATGTGTTTCAGAATGCTTGCAGATGGCCAAGCTGCATGCTAACAGCGCCTGGACTTCCTGTGACCATCTTGTTTTTTTTTTTTTTTTTTTGCACCTGGCTAGGACAGCTTGGCCCTCAGGGCAACCCAAACCCTAACCAGTGTTCCAGCCCTGCCCACTTGCCCTCACCTGCCCTGCTCACCTGCCACCTGCCATCTTCCTGGCTCACCTGCCCACCTGTCAACCTGTCCCGCCCCTCACCTGCCCATCCTGCCCCACAACAACAAAAAACACACAACACCACCCTGCCACCTTCCTCCTTACCTGCCCACCTATTCACCTGACCCAGGCCTCACCTGCACACTGCTCACCATGATCGCCTCACCAGCCGCCTGCTGCTGCGCTGCGTCACCTTACAAACACAGTGTCGGCCCTTCAACAAAACACACAAACACAACACAACACACCACACCCTGCCCTGCGCTCTCGGGGCAAAACACACCTTCCTCAGGCATCTCACAATTTTCCCGCCAACCTTGGGGCCGGGCTGACACCACTCCCGGTTCTACGAGATCGAAAGGATTTTCATAACACAACACAAAAAGGAATAAACACAAACAAGAGAGAAGAAAGATGGGATCCCGAGCCCGTGGCATGCAAGGGAATGGCTGTGTTGGGCCCAGGGCTCCCCACCCACCTGCTCCTCAGTGCGGGGAGAGGACACCACATATGGCGGCCAGTGACGAAGCCACATGTACTGCACTGGCACAGTCCCCCAGCGGGTCACGGCCCACCGCCCCCATCACCACTGCTCCACGAGCTCCCCGCACCCTGCCCAACGGAGCCACCCTCACCATCTGCTCCCCGACCCCCGTCACCCTAACTCCCCGAGTCCCCCGTCACCTAATAAAAAAGTTGCCTCCAGAGTCCCCCGTCCACTCTGCTCCCCAGACCTCACCATGCTCCGGTGGACCCCATCGACCACTGTGCTCCCGACCCCCAATCTCAAAAACAACAAAACACACAACACATAACAACCCGAAAAGCGACCTCCTCCTCCTGCGTCCGCCCAGATGCTTCGAGGGGTCGCATGAAACCAATGCACGCAACGCTTCCTCGACTCCCTTTTCACAGCCACCTGAAGATCAGTGTTCAGGACGCACAGACTTGACACTCGTCTTACAGCACCAGACGGCACCCGAGAGTGGAACGACATCTGAGACCCAAGTGCGCGGCACTGGGGAGAGTTGTCCGCCGCGCAGGCTTGTGTTCCGTGCTGCAGCCAGAGCTGGAAAACAGATATGGTCGGCGTGAGCCAGGGAGGTCTGAAAAAAAAAGCGTCCTGAAAATGAAAAGGATCTCCGCAAGGCTGGGGGCCCTGCAGACGTACCCTGTACTGCCTCCCCACGCGCCCTGGACTGTGCCGGAGGTTCTCTGCCCAGTCCCTGCCGCAGAGAACACTTGGCTCCAGCGACTTTCCTAAGAGTCCATGCCTGAATTGCGCTCCCCCGCTCCCTCCCTGCAATGCGGTGACAGCTGGGCTCCGCAACTCAGGGTCCGTAGAGCACTTGCTCCTCAGGTGGAAAGGCATTGTGGGGGGGGGTGGGGGCACCAGCGGTATCAAAGGACTGCTTCCCTTCTGTGCAAGGGCCGACTTGCCAGTAACAGGTGCATAGTCTGACGAGAGTGGACAGGGGAGGGGGGAAGAAAAGTGACAGGAGATGGGCGAGGGACAGGCAGAGGGACAGGGGAGAGGGCAGAGGGGAGGTAAGGGAAGGTATTAAGGGCAAGGGGACAAGGGAAGGCAAGGGACTAGGGAGAGGGAGACAGGAAGGGACAGTCGAGGACAGGAGAGGGCAAGGGAATGGGAGAGGCATGAGGACAGGGGAAGGAACAGGAAGGGGACAGGGGAGAAGGGAGTACTGGACAGGGGAAAGGGACCAGGGAGAGGGAAAGAGGGACATGGGGAGAGGGAAGAGGGACAGGGGAGAGGGCAGAGGACAGGGAAGGCAAGGGGACAGGAGAGGGAGACAGTAGGGTACAGGGTAGAGGAACCGGGACAGGAAGAGGCGAGAGGGGATTGAGCATTGCCGGTGTTTGGGAGCCCTGTTCCACGCTCGAGCGCTTTGCTGGACCCTGGCATGGGTCGAGCAGTCAGAGCCGGCCGTGTCGCAGGTTCAGGACAGACCCACGCTCACACAGCGGCCCGACGGTAGTCTCTGGATTGGATTTGCGAGAGGACAGTCTGTGGGCCGGGTGGGCCCGGCGCTCGTGGCTACTGCGCCACAGCGCCTTTTGAACATGGAATAAAAGCACTCCCTCCTCCAGACCTGGGGTTGGGGGGAATGGGGAAAATTCAACGCATGACCTTTATTTGCTCATCTTTATTTCTATGATAGAACTACATGTGTCACTCCTACCTCACCATCAGGTTGTTTTTGAACAGATCTCACTTTGTTGCCCAGGCAAGATGCTGGACTCAGCCCGGCTCACAGTTTGAGCACCTCAAAACTCCGGGCCAAGCGACCTCCTGCTCATGCTTCTCCGAGGGAGGCTGGTCTACAGGCATGCACCACCAATCCGCTAATATTTTTTCTATATATTGTAGTTGGCCAAATTAATTTCTTCTATTGGGTAATAGACAGGGGTGTGTGGTCTCACTCTTGTCCAGGCATGTTTGAACTCCTGACCTTGAGCCGATCCGCCCACCTCCGGCCTCCCAGAGCGCTAGGATATACGACGTGAGCCACCTCCGCCCGGCCTTCCTGCAGGGTTCTGACATACCTGCAAGCGAAGATGTGTAGAGTCTCGTGTGTCCAGCCTCTTGGCTCCGCGATGGATGATCTGCATCTGCAGCCTGCCCCCAGTGCTCTTTCGCTGCCCTTCCAGCTCCACCGCTCGGATGTCAGGGGTCATTAGTTATTCTCCATTAGAACGCACCATGTTCTGCATCGCCAGTTTACATGCGTGGCGCTCCTATGAGAATAAGCTCAGCGCCGCCACTTTAATCCCTCGTGGGACGTAAAGCATCATCTTACCCGAGAAGCCAAATTTTCCTCCCATCCTTTATTTCTTTTTGTTTTGCATCATATCTTAGCGTGCTGGAATTCTGGGAGGGGGGGGACGTAAAAATTGCAATGTTTTTGGAACCAGCGTTTCCTTGTCTTCTGTTTAGTCTGGGGCCTCTCCCGGGCTGCAGTTGCCTGAGAGCTAGTGGGGCGCACGTTCCCCAGCCCCCAAGCCCCCGGCAGCTCACACCTGCTCTTGCAGCCCCTAAGGGCCGGGTAGTGGGGCCACGGCCAAGGGCAAGGCTGGCCCGGGCTCTCGGGGCGCTTCTTTTTGTCCTGGTGGTCCTGGGAGTTCCAACCTAAATTCTACCTTTCACTTATCACAAGCAAATCAGAAGCAATCCGCCCGGAGCGGATGAAATGCCATCTGAGCACAGAGCACAGCTAGGACACAGGGCGAGGGCTGTCCCCGTGTGCACGGCCCACCCCCCCACAACCTGGCACCTCCCAACGTCTCCCTTCCCACTCCGTCCCACACACGCACCGACCCTCTAACCCTAAACCACTTCCCAGGCGGCTCCTGGGCTCTGTGGTCCGTGAGCCGCCCGGCGTCCCTCTCTGAGGCCGGGGCCACCTGCCTGACACCTGCTTGACCTCGGCCAGGCAGGTGTGTCCCGAGGCCTCGTTGGGACCTCTGCCACCTCCCCAAAGCTCACCCGTCCTCCACTACCCCTGCAAACCAGGCTCCAAACCAGTCATAACAAATTCATAAAAGGAAAGGGGAAAAACACGCATCTTGGCCTCAACACAAACCCAGAGACGATTCACTTCCAAACCACTGAAAACAGCCACAAGACGCGGCCCAGCTGCACAGGCTGGGGGGCTCTGCTCGGAGGGGCCGCCCCAGCCTTGCAGAAGGGGTCTCTGTGGGGGGCAGATGGAGCCAGGAGGGAGGGGATGGCCCCCCCAGAGCAGGACAGCCCTGTGGCAGTGGCAGTCCTGCCTCCCCAGCTCTCCCGAGAGCGTCTGTGATGGTTTTTCCTGCAGACTCTGCACGTGTTCCGCTGCGGCCTGTGCAGCCCAGCCCCTTCCTTCCCGGCTTGGACCCCAAGTCCCGGCCCATTCACCCACTTCCTCCCGCAGGGGGTTGTCCTTCCATTCCCCTTCCCCAGGTCCTTGTCTGGGAGCAGCAGGCATGGTTTGGAGGCATTGCTGTCCCCTGTGTCCGGGGACGGGCACACGGCTGCTGCCCCTGCCGGGTCCCTGCAGGAGGAGGAAGGGGCTGGCTGCTTGTTGGCCACCTGCTGCTGCAATCTACGGGGCCTGGGGGGTGCCCCGACACTGAGCAGCTCCCTTCTCCTCAGCTCAGCTCTGGAAAAGCCCCCCTGAGTGCCCTGGCAGTGTCTTTTACAAGAGAAGAGGTGGAAGGATGCATTCATTCATTCATTCATTCATTCACTCATTCACTCACCGGCCATTTCAGTGGTGAGCAGGCACCCCGACTGTTCTGGGGTTCTTCTGGGGATCGACGGGGGGGAGGGCGGTT